GGGGGGGGGGGGGGGGGTACTGAGTTAATCAACTGTTATTACTGAACAGAATGCAATGGTGCCAAAATAATTTATATTTAGCTGTCAGTCCCAACTACAAATCAACTCTTGGCTAAGCTACCTACTAGATATACTAGCCTCTCTTCCACTTGCATGCAGTCATTTACTCAAAGCATCCCTTTTGGACTAAAGCTACCTACTAGATTAACTCATAATTGACTAAAGGACTAAAGCATCTCAACAATCATATGCTTTGGCTAAATCACTACAGCATTTCTTTCACTTCCATAACTACGGCTTACATTAGCATCTAGAAGGGCCTGCCAGATTATTCATCTCATATAACACATATGAACTCATGGGAGACCAAAATTCGTTTACATGCAGATTCTTGAAGGGTAAAAAACAAATTTTCTACATAGCTATGTGAACAGGAATTGGTAAGTACCTGATTAAGCACAAATCCCTTCAACATGTTCAAGAAGTCAGCATGCCTCTCGTTGTCAAGCCTTTCAAGTTCACTCTTGTTATTTTCCTGCATTTCATCATAATCATTTCTAAGTTCTGGGTAGAATATATATTGCGACAATTGAAAGGGGAGCTATAGCAACTATGCAAATAGAAAATAAATATATACAATCAGAAAATTTCCAATATCAAGATCAAGTAAATGTCAAATATACAAATAGATCCATACTGCATCTGCTGAAAAGGCATCCCAATTCACCAGAACAGAAAGAATTTTCTAAAAGTAAAAGTTTAGATAGCCTTAATCGCAAAGGGAGAAAATAAAGCAGTTATAAGAGACCAAAAAGATGCAATAATTTGTCATCAGAAACTGAACTGACACACTAAAACCAACTGTAACTTTATGCATATACAGACTTCTTAGCATCAAGACATGCAAGGATGGTTTGCAAAAGCACAAGATCAATATCAGTTACCCTAAAATAGTTCTTAAATAAAAAGAAACTTGGGCTTCCAGAAGCATATACTTCTTCATCCTGTACATGCACCAACAAATAACATCCAAGAGCTCGACTATTTAAGATCAATCTTTGCATAATGCCCATCCCTCACTGTGAAGAACAGCCAAGCCTTTCACCTCATACACTCAGTTGACTGCCACAACTTGTAAGCTTTGATGGATTAACTAATACCCTCATACAGGTGCAATTTGCTGGGCTCTGCCTAGACCTCATATCAGCAGAGCGGAGATAGAAGACACAAGATACAAAGATGAAGTAGTTGTCAGATCCCATCTCAACAACCACGTATCAAAGAACAGCATGGCCAAATACCATCATTTCCTAGCACTAAGTGAATCAAGCTACATGTGTGCCTCAATGCTATGAGATTATCATATAACCAAAGTGAGGAAATTCCTTGGAGGGAGTGAGGCTAGACACAATTTTAGGACAAGAATGCTAGGCATACAAAATAAATCAAATGAAAGCATCTGTGAAAACTAGGAATAACAGCAGATGAAAATTGATGAGGAAAGTATGTGCGGCAAAAACCAATGCCTGTACCAATTAGGAGAGAACAATGCCACCACTACAAGGGCAAAAGGTACAGCTATACATAATGAGGAAGAAACACTAGGAAACAAACATGACAACCTAGGATTTAACAAAAGTAGAACTGAAACAGGGGCAGAACAAAACACTGAAGCATTTGGGATGCAAAACCTTCACATACAAGTTTAGATAAAGTTTGCAAGGTTTCTGATTTATTAACGCATATTTTAAGTACCAAGTATTGGAAAGCTTATCCTCAGTATCAGTACATTAAAAATAATTTCAGGAATACAATGGTACCTTGATCCGCTCATATTCTCTGATTGCCACATTTTTAGCATCCTCAGTGACTCTTATGGTTTCATTTAACTCCTCTAGCTTGCGAATCCTTGATTTGTCGCCACCAAATATTTTATTTGATTGAACTTCAAGTTTTTCAGCTCTTGATTGCAGCGTATCCACTTCTGATAGTAGAGTTTGCACTGTTAATAAAGCACTTGACCGATCCGAGAACGCACTGTTGACAGCTAACATAAGCCCAAGATATTCATGGAACGTGTCCTGCAATACAAATTGTATGAAAATCATTATTACAATTGTTGGGTTTCCTTCTAAAGTAACATTGAAAATCAGTTGAAGAGAATATGCTAGATATACACACATTAATAACCAAATTAACCTTATAGTTGGAAACATAATGAATAACAAAAAGGACTGCAAAATTACCAAATGTTTGACAGTCTGAGCATTTAACTCTCGATAGAATCTGCTAGCTTTGACTGCAGCAGTTGCCACATTCTTCATGTCAGCTGCTCGCACCCTTTGAGAGTTGAACAAGGCCTCCTCATTCTCAAACTTGGTCAGTTTTATAAACGCCAGTCCTAACTCTCCCATTGTCTCTCCCATGTCTTGTTGGGCTTTCACAAGTGATTCAGCCTATTAAGTTATAACAAAAACATGAGCATTCAATCCAAGCAAACTAATCACTCAAAAAATTCGCAATTTATTCAATTTCAGTATCCATTACCTGCTGAGACGCATTGCTGAGCTGTTGCTCCAGCTCCTGCATCTTCTCTTTCTTCTCCAAAAACTCCTTGTCCTC